AATGAAAAAATGGATTTTAACGAATCGATTTGTGTCTAGAGGTATTTTAAAAATTCTTTGAAAAAGATGGAAAAATATAAAAATGAGTATCATTGACCAAAAAAAAATTTAATCTTTACCATAATGTAAGGAATATTAAAATAGTGTTAAAAAAATCTACTTGACCAACTCTTTTGTTAAAAGCAAATGAAGAAAAACTTAAGCTATATATAATATAGGTGCTTTTTTTAAAATGGCGTATTGGCTAGTGAGTCTGATGATAAAGGACTTCTTTGGATTCTAGTTCGATTATGGGATTCCAATGGGCAAGTGATTTTTTTTTAAAAACGAAATGAATTCTTAAAAGAAAACACGCTGGAGGCGGGATTCGAACCATGCTAACCAATAAACCATTCTAATGTACTTGATATAAATTTAAAGTAGTATTTTATTTAATATTTAAAATATAGGTTGATCACCAAAACTGGAACCAACCACTAGCCGGTTTTGATCTAACCGGCTGGTTAGCAGTTAGATCAGCCGATTTTGCGAACACTGATTTGGACTTAAATAATAATATTCCAGTGTTGGAGCTTGATTAGATGGTTATAAGTCATGCAAATTATAGGTGTTTGGACTTAAATAAAGATTCCCCGGTTATGGCCATGGATATACAAAGAAAAAATGTGTGGAAACGCAAGGGAGTGAGCTTTCCTTGCTCTTCCTTTTCGTCATTTTATTAATTATTTGTTTATGGAGTTGCTCCTCTTTTGTTGTTGCGCCAGTGAGAGGGGGGGGAGGGGAAGGTGGGAATACCGCTTCCCCCTCCCAAATTAGTGTTTGAAAAAATGGATTATCCACCTTTTGTTCACTAGGGCCTGAATCGGATGATTCGGACCGTCATTCTTCAAATGCTACTCTTCTCTCCGAGTACAGAGTGGTGAAAAGCTTTTTTTAAAAAAAAAGAAGAAGAAAAAAAAGAATACAAGTATGCTACTCTTCTCTCCTAGTACAGAGTGGCGAAAAGCTTTTTTAAAAAAAAGAAAAAAAGAATACAAGTATACATTTTTTGCCCCACCTTCTCTCCCATAAAAAAGAAAAAACAGGCTTACTTTCCACTTAAAAAAGATGATATAAAATCTCTATATTCAAGAGAAAAAGAGGCACATGCACGTAAGGGAAAAGTGAAATTGAGAAGAATAATGAAAATTATTATTCTCTTTAAGATTCAGTTCACACAGGGACTACAAGTTATCTTCTCCTAGAGATCACAAAGAGGTGCATACCCCGATTATCTTAGCTATCGCCTTCTTTTTTCTTATATTCGTTAATATTTCATGTATTTTTTGTTGCATATTCTCATTTCTGGATTCCATATGACTTGGGGGAGCTTTTTTTTTTTTTTTGTTTAACATTAACACAAGCAGCATTGTATGTATTTTTCTTATTAAAACAAGGAATTTCATGGAAAAGTATTTGGTGAGTCAATCAGAACTCAAACTCATGTGAGCGCCCTGATTTTCAAGGGATTTAGTACCCAAAATCACTGTAAAGTTATATTCTTGCTTCAAGTTGGTAGCACACCTCACTTGAGTTGCACGTTGTGCCTTCCATCCCCATTGACACTTTAAAAACCACAAACTAATTCAGAAATGGGTATCCCACTAAATTGCCCAAAAAAATAAAATCCACGAACTTGGAGCTTCAAAATCAATGTGAATCTGATGATCTTTGAATGACTAAAATGAATGCTCCAAAAAAAGAGAGAAATAGTATGCTTAGGTTTTTATTCTCAGATTCATAATTGTAGTGGTGTGGATGATAGACTTGCAAATGATTAGATGTAAAGTCAATCTCTTAGATGGATTTCAACTAAACCTCGCCTACGATTATTCACAATATATCTCATGTTTGTTTGCTTGCTTGCCATCTTCCCCTTAAAAATGACAAAGCCCCTACCAACCCCTTGTGTATCAAGTTATACGGCCGATAATTTTTCGGTTTGGGTTTGGATCCCCCAAATCCGAATCCCGATCCAAAAATATTAGGTCTTTAAAAGTTAAAAATATTATATACATTATATATAGGCAAAAATGAACAGTGATTTCGTCTATGTTTATCACCGTGCAAAGTTCATCATAAAGTCACGATTGTTCGATAGCTTTTCATTTTTCATTTTTCATTTTTCATTTTTTTTCCATAAATTTAAATGATCTGAAATTTGGAGCGTGTGTATATATTAAAGAGGCGCATCTAATAAAAATAAGGACAAAATATTTCGTACAATATAAATTGACCAAAATACCTCTGTAAATTTTTAGGGGTATTTTG